CTCACATAGTTGTTCTAAAATGTTCTTCACACCTTCACCTTCATAACTCTTAGATATGTGATTAATCAGGCCAGAAAACTGATCCTTTGGGGCTTATTTCTTAAAATAACAGAGATGGGGCAATAACATAGGAATGAGGTGACAAGAACAGGGATTACTTAAACATATTTGTCACTGAAAAAATACATGTATATAACAGATTATATATATGTAACATATATGTATAATATCTACTTACACCCCATCTTACCACCTAATTAAATTGCCTCCCAACCACACCCAGTAGAGTCACATTGGGAACAAATGCTATGGAAGGGGAAGGACTTTGAGGTAGAACAATAGATAAAAATCGATGCATTACTTACATAAGAGTTCTCATTTGAGCTCAAGAATGGAGGGTATATTTTCACACACATACATAATCTTCTGTATTTCTAAATAATGTACTTAAGTCATGATGCAAAACTAAATATTGGAGATCAGCTAGACACCAAACAATGTTTTCCATATTGTTATGCCCGTTGCCTTGGTATTCCAATACCTATGAATTCGTCAATATTAATCAGTTCAAATCAATGTTTGAAGTATCTAATGATTACTCATGGAAAGAAAAAGATAGTACCCTAGCAGCTGAAATTCCATTTATTGATCACTTAATCTTACATGCTTTTTCAGCCTGTAGCAATATGAAAAAAAATGGATTTTTTTTAATTTGAAATCTGAGGTTTTCTATAAACATGTTTCTAAGTTTAATGGAGTCACTAATTTACATATCAGAGATACATACAGGAGAAGATAAAGGAAAAAACTTATAGATAGTGCATTTTCCTCCACCCAGTTACAGAATGGAGGCATGACAATTTACATTTCAGTAACCACAACAGCTACTTCAGCCACTAATTTAAGATGATTTCTTGCTTCCTACAGAAGAAATGAGATTTTAAAAGTTAAGTCATCTAGTCTAAGGCAGTTGTTTAGGATATTTCTGTAATTTGTAGGTTGAGATAGACACCTACCTGAGGCAATTCACACTGTTTTTAGGATAAACAAGGCATTTGGGTCATTGTCTCTCTCTGTTGAGAATAAACAGGTTAGACAGCTAGTTTATATGAGGAACTTAGTTGCTGTTAACAGAGACTAAAACCCAACCAGCCTCTTAAACAAGGAGGATTGTAGCACAAAATTCAATGCAAAAGTAATTTACATGCAAAAACACTTATTATGTTCTTATTATAATGAAACCATTGGAATAATGAGATATAAGACACATTTAAAAAAATACACAATTATCGCTGCCAATACAATTCATTATCAAAGATTAAGCAGCTTTTTCCTTCGAGGCACATCTCTGCCTCATCCTTCCTCATCTCTCCATCAACTGAGCTTATCAGACACGCTTTATGTCCCCTCCTCAGGAATCTCATAACAGGCTCCAATGCACCCTGACATGGAGATAGTCATGTCTACAGAGGTCTCAGCAACAAACTATTTAAGAAACAACAGCAAAAGCATTTAGATATCCCTTTCCTGTCCAGATTGACAGATTAATCCTTAGAGGTGCAAGGCTTAGGTGAAAAAGAAGTAGTTTCATTTGTGCTGAAATAAAGTCAGGAAGAAACAAGAGAGGTATCTAGGCCTAGCACAGGAAATCCCTGTGGTAAATAGCAAAACAACCCACATGTAGAAGAAAGACCTACCATCCTAATCAACAAGATTTCAATTAGAAATTCTCTCACTATCATTTGGAATGGCAATCACATCTTCAATAGTGGCCCAAAGACTGGGACTGTAGAATTCCTGAACATTGCATTTCAGCAGTAACAGAGACAGAACTCTGAGGGAACCTCTCTGGATTTTTGGAACCACTGAGGAGGACACTGAAGATGTATCAGGCAGCATTTATGGGCAGAGGGTTGCAACCCTCACATACCTTGAACTGGGAACAAAAACCTGTTCTCTGAACTCCAGCAAGTAGCTTACCAAGATTGGCACTGAGACCTGAGCTGAAGAGGACCAGAATGCTGAGCAAGCAACTTAAACCTCCAGAGGCAGATCCAATTCATTATTTTATTCTGAACAAGATGATGGAAAACAGGTGAAGAGAAGGGACAATAAAAGGGGAGGAGAAAACTCTCCGGTGGGAGGAGGTGTGGGATTGCCAAATGCCTCCTTGTCTCCCTGCTCAACAAAACTTACTTGTTTACCACTCTGAATGCAGAACTGAAAATGCTAGGTGTTAAAATGTTAACAAAAGGAAGAAGAGTTTGAGCAAACCATGAGGGGAAATCAAGGGTGCGTTGATAAAAGCAAATATAGCAGCAAGGAAACATACAGGGAAAGACAGTGGATGCTACATAGGGAATAGTAAAGAAGCTGACATGAACTTCAAGAAACCATCAAGAAAAGATCAAAGTGTAAATAAGATCATAGGGGTCTTGGTTTATTTTTACAACTTGTTTTATGTGGCTTTTATCTGTGTGGAGAAAATAAATAAATAATCTTTCTTTTGAACTTTAATAAACTCACAGATTCCAGGAACAAAAGGGCTCCTAGGTAGCATTCCCTGTTGTTTCAACAAGAGAAACAAGGGGTCTGTCCCCAGAGACTCCTCCAGGAAAATGTGGGATCATCCATCTACAATAACATGGGCTTCCTAGACACTGAGTGGAGCATTGACTCCCTATATAAAGGAATGTTTAATCTAGCAGACAGAAGTGGAACAAATCAGGCATAATTTGAAAAGCAAAACAGCAAGTTTGTTTTTTCTTAAGTGGGTAGGTACGAATATAATGGATTCTTTAATACACAAAAGCTGCAGAGTGACTGGTAGCTTTCCTAGGGAAGGCTTGTGTATCAAGTAGACATGGTTTATATAGGAACCAGTGGGCAAAATTCTGAGCACAGCCACCTTTCTTGGTTTTCTGGTCCCTGCATTGAGCATCTCAGAATGATGAATAGTACCTTAAAGCATCCAAATGTGTTCATATAAAAGGTGTCTTTACTCATAAACATACCTTAATTTCACATCATGGGCATGCTATGTAGCTGTCCTGTTCTCTATCCAAAAATATAGAGCAATTTAAGATTTAATGGTCTCCAAGACAGTGACTTGACTGTCTCAAAGTCACTGCCCTGTAACTGAGGTGTGAGAAGCATTTGAGAGCTCTAGGTAGGTTTATGTTCAGTGTGAAACAGGTTTGTCTAAGTGTGCAGAACCCAACATCATCATCCCAAGCCCCAGAAGACCCACATGCTGTTGGCAATCAATAGAGGTAACAATTCAGCACGTGTGTCATGCAACATGATTTTGAGCAGATTTCTTTAAAAGAAGCCTGACACTAATGGCTTGCAAAAACAGACTTCCACTGTTCCTGGTATTGATAGGGCAGAATTGATATTAACAGTGGCAAGGCTTAAAAATTTCTCTAGTGAAACTCTTAGTAAAGCACCATAGGGGACACTGAGCTGCAAAAATGAAGAACAGTGATAGAAACCAAACAGTGGTGAAACACTGACAAAAAGGAACAATTTGGGATTGAACTAATTGAATCTGACAGATATGCATTTTCACAGAATAATCCCTCGAAAGCATATTCACAGGTACAAAGTCATTATTTGAAAATTTAACCTCAGACAGGTGGTTCTTATTTCACAGACTCACAGAAATGCTTGGGTTTCACTAGAACAAGTTGCTCAAAGCCCCATCCAACCTGGCTTTGTGTCAGCTAGAGTAACAACTTAATATTTTGACCTGAATAAAAGAAATATTCCTATAGACACCTGATTCTGAAGAAGTATGAAACAGAACTACTGATGAAAAAATTGAAATTCATAACTAGTTTATACTGAAGCTTAGATACAGCCCTGAATGTAATTTAAAAATAAATTTTGGACAATTTTTTGCAGTTTGCCAGAAGTGATCACCACTGAAAAACAATTTCAGAAAGAAAAGTGAAATTTGTCACCAAAGAGATTTTCAATAAAGAGCTCCAGGAATGGAGACAGTTTTTAAGAAGACTTTTCAAAGCAGTTGAATTTTTAATATATAACTAGAAATCACTAACTGGCTTTTATGAATTAGGGTGTTTCAATGATGCCAGAGCAATTTGAACCAAATATTCATACTTTAATGGATCCATTAAATCTATTTTTTCAGTATTCATACTTGAGCATAGATAAGATTGGTAATAGGTTCTACCAGGCTTCTTTGGAGCCAAACTATTTTACTGATCTAAAAATGAACCCCAGATTAAGGAAAGACACCTACTCATAGAAAATATGGACATTTTCTGACCAACTTTCTCAATTCATTGACAATGAACCTGTAGTTCAAAGACCTTTCAGCATGAAAGGGCTACAGATTAGAAAGTGCTATCAGAACTACTATATAAAAGAAGAAAGCATTATGGTTATCACAAATGCATAAAAAATTTGTCACTTTTGTAAAAGCAGTCACCAGAACAGGCACAAAAGAAAACACAATCCTTTTCAAAAACAAACACATTCGTTTCCAGATACAAAATTCAAATCAATTAACAACATGATATTATATGACCATCTGGTTAGACAAGGGATAGAATAAAGAGATTTTTTTTTTTTTTTTTACACCACAAAATATGCTGGCTATGTGAGGAATGAGCTAAGATAACATGGCAGGAGATAAATCAGCTGCTCTCTCGCTCAGAGTCACAGAGATGTTCCTTAACAACCTATGGAGCAGAAATGCCAGGCTAAGCTGGTACCAGGGCTGACTTCTCTCATCACTGCTCCTCTGAGGGTTGTTCCTGCACATCAGTGTCACAACTGTACCTCAGATGTCTGAGCACATCCCTACCTGGCAAGTGTCCAGCTGCACCAGGGATATCACGTTGATCCCCGTGGTAATCCTGGTGGGCACCCATCAAAGCTGTAAAAGCCTGATTTTTTTGAGTGAAAAACCTAAAAAAATTGCTTAATTCTGAACAATCTAGTATTTGAACTAAAAGTTGTAATTTACTTACTCTTTTTGTAACAGCTCTGGATTGACTCCCAGAATAATTTCCCTATTCTTTTTCATTAACAGAGAAGCACTTCCCATGTGCCTTTGTCATCTCCATATACCTGAAAAAAATACATGCAAGTTAAAGACGCAAAACAAAACAATTAACTCTCAGTACTCATTTACAGTGCATCTACATTAGCATTTTAATTTAGATCTAGAGAAGCCCCTTAGAGGCAGGTCTCCTACCCATCCCCACTTTCCACGCTTCGTTTCACCCATCAGTCTCAGAACTGGATTCCTTTCCCATAAAGTTGTGTGGCAGCAACACATCTGATGTTCTCCAACCACAAGTAAGACATTCAGTCTACAGATCACACATGATCCAGACAAACACAACCCACCAGACTGCACTGAGTGGACCATCAGCATTAACTCCTTTGCTCTCTCTGTGTCAATCTTTGCCAGACTGTCTGGGAAATTCCCACCATTTCTCCAGCACTTTTTGGCTTGCAAGAAAGCAAGGAGGGATTTGAAAACTCTGTAAACATTGCTACTGAAAGTGAAAGATGACATTAAAATATTCTTAATATTTGGTTCACTTACAAAATATTACAGTACTGTATGGAAAAAATACCAAATACAAGGAAGTTTCTTGTTTATAAGATAGACATAGTCTTGAACAAAATGTTCCAAATTATCTTAGTTATATGAGCCTAACATTCCCTAAATCCATCGGATATTTCGCAAATTTTAACTTCTGTACTTCACAGTTTAGGCTCAGAGCAACTACATTTTTTTCCCATATAAGAAAAAACTTCATAATGGGGTTTTCAGCATTATGACCAAAGCAATGCAAGGCAACACAGAATTCAGAGTTTTCTCTGTGTGTTAGCACTGAGCTCTAAGTATCAGCCTATAAGTGCTGACATCCTTAGATGTTCAACAGGTAAGGATTACCCCTGTGCACAGCACTGACTTTCATAACTGTCATCCTCGCTCTTTGCACCCCTTTTTGTTTGTTTGGTTTTTGGTTTTTTTTTTTTTTTTTACTTTTAGAAGGTACCCAAAGGGGAAATAAAACATTTCAGTTCCCCGCACCCTGTGAGGACAAGGACGATTTTATTTCACATCACCTCACAAAAGACAACCACAGCCTTGCCTCAAACCAGCACATCTCAGAACTGGAAAGGGCTCTGGCTGAAAAACAACATGTGTTCAGCCTTAAGACTACACTTATCCAGGATCTTCTGCAGCCAAGACCAAATGATCCAAGGGAAATCTCCAGAGGGAAGATATTATAGCTGTTAAAAACTATATGCAGAGGACTGTAGCAGTGCTTCAAGCAAAGCACTTGAGTCAAATATGACTCTAAAATTACTGCAACAATCCATATATCAAGAGCTCCATAACCTTTATCATTTAAGTTAATGTGAGGATTCTTTTAAGAGAGGGAAAACAAACATTCATTCTCACCACTTTAACTTTTCTTTCTACATGTCTACTTTCCCTTCGTATTACAGCATCCAGGTAGAAGAAAAATCAGATAAAATGAACCCATCTACTGCCAGACAGATCTTAATCTATTCAGAAAAGATCCAGACTGTTTGCTATATATAGTAAGGACCACATGGCACAAAAAACCTGAAAATGTCTCTATTTTCAGTGTATTTTTTGATACATTCAATGTATTTCTTGAAGAAAATTTAAATATTTCGTGCAGTCTCTAAAATATCACTAATCCAGAGCATAACTGTATGTTTAAACCCATTCTTACAAAACTAATTTAAAATAAAACTTGTTCAAGGGTCAGATGGAGACAGTTTTCTGACAAAAGTTTGTACATTAAACACAACTAGTTCAAGACCAAAGTCTTAGAAATTGTCTTTTATGTTTGGGGTTTTTTTAAGAAATATTAACTTCAATCAGCTCAAATTAACCAGTTCCCCAAGTTGTTGTTGAACAAAATGGAACCTGCCACCCAAAGCTTCCAGTTCCCATCTTTATTCCATTCTCAGTGCTGCAAGCAGAAGTCACCTAGAACTGGTGCACCACAAATTTTTCACATTTGATGAAAGGTACAAGTCAAAACAGATACACAGACCACACATAAAGCTTATTCTTTAGATGTAACTACAGAGATAAAGTGAAAATTCAAGGTTGAAGGGCAGTTTATAGTCTTTCAACTTATTTCAGAACTGGAAAAAGTGAAAATGGGATGTAGACCATCACTTGTTTGTTGTTTTAAGTGAGTGCACATCACAAATAAATCTGCACACACATTTATACGTGTGTATATATCTCTCTGAACTAAAAAATAATTTAGAAAAAGTGAATATTTTTAACTGAAAGTCTGGTTTTTTTCAGCTATATGATCTAAGTTGAACTTTTCAGTTGTAATTACTGAGGAGAATTAGGCCATTGGTGAGAAACACCAGTCAGTGCAATAATTTCATCAACTAAATAATGCCACTTCTTGATGACAAAAATCACAGGTAAGCAGTGGAAACCTCACTACACAAAGAACTAAAAAGCTTGGTGCTACACTCTGTGACTCCTGGGTGTTTGGAATTCACCTAAACCAGCAGATTACGCTGAAAGGTGCAATTTTTAGCATTTCTCTGTGCGTAACTATAATTACCCTTTAATGTCATACAAAAGAAAATACTCTGCGCACAAATCAGAGCCAAACAACCTTATTCTACAAACCAGGATCTATATTCCCTGTAGACATGACCTCACATCTTGGCATTCCACAGAAGTGAGCACTGGCACTTCAGGACACCCCAACCTGCGAGAGCAGGCACAGGAGGATTAAAGCAGAGCGTGCTGCACAGCATTTATGTCAAGAATGCTTTGTGCCTTGTACTCTTCATTTATCTCAGTCTTTTTTAACCACAGAGTAAGCTTCCCTACCTAGGGTATGGCTTGGTCATGTATGATTCAATTAAGAGTCAGTCTGCACATAGACAATGCTCGATTCAGGGACGATTCCCAACGGACAGCCAGATGTGTCTGTGCTGGGAAGTGGTTCGACAGGTATTCACTGGGTACTGGAGGGGAGGGGGGGAGGGCACAGTGAAAGAAACTTTTTGCCTTGCATCTATTTTGTAACATACTAAGAAATGACCACGAACCAGAGAACAGCGACATGAAAAGCAGCCATAAATCAGAGGTCAAAATAGCACCAAAATCCAATAAATAAGCAGCCCACTTAGCAACTCAGCTCTGTGTGCAACCACATTTCCTCAATCTCCCCTCATTTTCTTTCTTTTTTTTTTTAAATTAAAACAGTTGACCCTGTGAGGTGTTAGCCACTTGAACAATCCTTATATGGGACTTGTCTGAATTTCTATGGAGGAGATGGAAAAAATTCTCATGAGAAACAAGTTTTGAAAAAAACACATGTTGGGACTGGTTGTGGCAAAATACAAGTCTGATGGAAGACATCTTTATAATTGGAAAATAATTGAAGCATAGCTGTGAAGGAACATGAGCATATACAAGATATTTCAGTCAAAAGTTATTCAAGCCCTATTCCTGCTCATACTAAAGGTTCTATTGTAATCTCTAAATAAGTCCACAAATGTAGTGCTGATGTTTATGTAAAATATGTTTTATTCAATCTGGGCTTCTTATTCACAGTGTGAAAATTTTTTTCAGCATATTACAACATGCCCATCATAAATACCTCAAGAGACTCCAATCGAATTGAAATTAAAAAAAAAATCAGAAGTGCTACTTAATGGCATTTTTTTCTTATCAATCATTTCAAGTCTTCTGAAGACTAAAATGTTCACAGAAACAAAAAAGTGAAAAAAAGTTTTCTGCCTGCTGGCAGGGACTCTCCTTTTGTAACTTTGAGATTAGAAGTCTTCTCCTGACAAAAAAGAAAAGTTTTTGACAAAAAGTGTTAACATTTTTAGAAGAATATTGACTCCACACTCAGATCAGGTGTAACAGAGTCATCCCAAATTTAAAAAATAACTGAAGGCTTCTTTTTTTTTTTTTTTAAAAAAAAAGGTGACTTATAAAAGATGAAAATTGTCTTTGTGATAGAGAACACTCCAACACATGCTCACGAGTAAGTATTGCTCTTAATAAAAATGAAAAAAGGTTTTTTCAGTGAATTACTGATGTACTTCAAAAAAAACATTTCTGTAACTCTCAAAAGCTTATAACTTATAAGAAAAATATCTAATCAGTGCTAAAAAAGTTTTCTTTCAAATGCTGGGAAGCAATACCAAAGCCAGAGAAAGCCAAAAAAATAATCTGATATGCCTGACAATTACAGAAATATATATATATATATGATTAGATGCCTGCCTGGAAGACGTGGAATCGAGTCCCACCACCCCAGGAGGTGGAGTGGGCTTGCATTCACAGCCATACTGCAGCTTACCTAAGAAATTACGCTGCTTTAAAAGCAGATGGAATACTCAAAATATCTAAAGCTGGCCCAAAAGTTCCAGAATTTCCAATAAAAAAGCCCCAACAAAACACAAGCTCAGACTTTTCCTTCCGTTTCCAGCAGCACCTGGAGCCCCAGCTCCACAAAACATTCCCAAGTGCAGTTCCTGAGGCAGCAGGTGCCCTGATGATGGCCTGGAGAGATCACCAGCCATCAGCAACAGCTGCAGTTTACACAGCAGGACCCTTGATGATGCAAGGTCAAAACATGTTTTCTTACTGATTAATTCAGGAAAACATAAGAGTTAACAACATAAGTGTGTACTGATAGGAATGTGTTTTAGCTTCAGACAACAGTTCATTCTGAATGCCAATTAAACTCTGATTATGGATTGGTTTTGGTTGCAACAAATAACCAAGTATGAAAGTACAGGTCTAATTTCCAGGCTGTGTTTCTCTCTAGGTACCACATTCAATCACTTCACAAACACATAGAGAAATAAGGCAAACTAAATAACAAGATTTTCAACCTGCAACATCTGCAAGCTCTATTCCTGAAAGCAAATTATTCCCAGGCTCATTCTGACAGGCACCATTACAGTTTTCTTTATTCTCACTGAAGAGTTTCTTAATTCCACAATATGAAAAAAATTCCCAAACTGAACAACTGTGACTGATTTTATAACGTGAGGTGTTCCTCAGGGTTATTTCACTCCCTATCACAGCTTAGATAGAGCACTGTGATCAGAACTAAGGAGGTTCTCTTCATTTTCTGAGGGTTCAATATCAAACATTCAGCTTTGTAATATCCCCCCACTCACACACAACAGAGCTGTAAGTGCTTCCCAGGGACTTCACCAGAAACAGCTGTCAAATGACACCAGCACAGTTTGACCTGCATGAAACTACTTGTTGTCTTCTCCAGCCAAGAAATGAAAAATATGAGGGTTTCTTTTCCAAAACAAAGCCAGAAATCACCAGAGTTTGTAATACAGCAAAATGCCGTAATACAAAAATGAAACATTCTGCTTTTAGAACAAGACTTTCCTAGAAGAGACAGATCATATGGCAAGTTGATTTCCTGAGTGTAAAGGATTCCTGTATGTATATAACAGATGCCCAGTACTCAGTGCATTAACTTGCCATTGGAAACAATATCTAAAACTTGGATATTAATCCACTTTCTTCCTGTGGAAGAGTGAAGAAAGTGGAAGAAGACACAAGTTTGCTGTTATGTACCACAGTTACAGAAATAAGATTAAGAGTTATCATTATAGCAATGAAACCACTAAAGGCTAAGTTGAAAAAAAAGTTAAGACAGTAAATTCCCAAAGTGCTTCCAAGCTGTTTGTAAAGTTGACCCAAACCCAGCAAAGTGCTTCTATTCTCTTCACTTCAGCCTGCTGGACTCCATAGCAGGAATCCAGGCAACACTGATTTAGGCAATTAAGAGCAAATCTTTTTGTGTAAAAGTCATCCTGAACTATTTTAGCTCTCACATAGGCTGTCCACCAGTCAAAGTGGATACACATACCCACAGGTATAGTGGATATGCAACTAATCAAAGAGTTTCTTAGAATATTTGTCTGGCAAGGTAAGGTTGATTAGAGCTTAGGCACTATTTTCCCAGATGTATTAATAGCCTCTCTTATGAATACTATAAATGTTCAAACAGTTCTTTAAATGTTCCAACAAAGTCTTCAAGGCAGTGCTGTTTAATTCCATAGAATCTAACTTTCATAAAAGGAGTTTAACTATATATATATGGCCTGCTCACTGAGTTTTAAAACTAATTAGTGAAATTAATTTACAACATGTATTTTAACAACTTCAATTTAAAAACTAATAGAAACCCTCCCAGATAATGAGAAACAAAGCCTAATTCTGAACAACTACACTTCAGAATTCATAAAAGTATACACAACATTACCAAACAGAAGATATTTTTAATTAAGATATCAGACCCTATTAGTTGAATATGAAACATACCCTGGACACAAATCCTGCAGCAGACCTGGATTTGTAGGAAGCTCTGGTTTATACACAGAGCTACAAAAGACCCCCAGTTCCTGCTTAGCCTGTGACAGTAGAAGAGGCAACCACACGACCTCTAGAGCTTTTGGGCAGCTGCTTGTGCTTCGTCAATCAGCTTCCTCAGCTGAGCACAATTAAATTACAACGGTCACTGGGAGGAGCTAATGTTCATGTCACACCTATCAGACCCTGCCTTACACACCTGCAGAAAATATGGTAGGTTTTCTGTTTCAAGTCTGGGAGGGCACATAATGTGTAACTTCTATAATATCAATGAATTTCTAATACTGATGTATGGTTACGTTTTTATGCCTCTAGAGGAAAAAGAGGCATAACCATAGGCAAAACCACAGCTGAGAGTGGCAAATGCAGGGAACAAACACAATTTTCCTCCCCCTTTATATTAGATGAATCATCAGTAATTATACACTTTAAATGATCTTTAATAACTGGAAAAAACACATTCATTATTTCCAGAATTTGCAATTTACAGTCTCTGTATCCACGGACAAATGGCATACATTAAAATAAAGGAGAAAAACATAGTTCTTTAACTCCCAACGAAGTTAAAGGTATAAACTGTATGTTTCTTTAACTATATTTAGCACATATTCTTCCAGCTTTCATTAGAATATTTTCAATATTTTTACACATCTTTCATGCCATGTTTTCATTACAATAAGAGCCAGATACATATTCTTTATGCATTTGGGAAGAGAGAATGTCTCAAATCAAGGAAGTCTAGAAGACATCTAAACAAATAAAAATCACCTTTGCCACGCATTCAAATATCAACATCACCCTTACAGTGTCCTTTGAAAAAAATAAAGGTAGCCTTTCCAGTGGTCAGTGTTTATATTTGACAGACACAGTAACCACATAGTTACAGTTTAGGATTTACATTCTTGGAGCTGTTAAATACAGCTGATCGAGTTAACTGCATAACCATCACTGTCATAATGTTACATTTTGTAAATGGCTCAGAAATGCTGACGAAATCAGCCTTCAGAAAGGGCTGACACCAGCAGGATGCTCAAAACAGGGACGCTCACAAAGAGCCAGCCCAAATGCTCTCAGACCTCTCAGTTGCAGAAATTTCAGGTGTCAGAATTGCAAAGTCTTACCAGTCATACACCAGTTATATAATTCAAACACAGGAACACAATTAAGGAGTTACTTTTCAGTGTGGAAGCATCAAACTTTGTCTCTTAGTTGGAAATGTAAGCTTCACATGCTCAAACACAAAATACACTACGTTTGAACTGATGCCTCCAGCTGTCTCCATTTCTGTTCCTAAATTCATTTTTCATAAGTAATTGTGCCTCTAACTAAAAAGAAAATGAGATTACAGATACCATTGGTTTTCATGGCTTTGAAGAAATGACTGGGGCAGATTGTGCATGGCAACTCAAGAGTTACAGCTTTGTATTGCGTGGGCAATCACATGATTTTACTGCAGAGTATTTATGTATAAGAGAAATATACTCACACCATCAAGGCAGCTGTGAAGTCCTGAATTGCATGAGACTCCTCAGTTTTGTTTATCCTGTCTTCTGTTTGAAGGACACTGTAACACATATTGAAGTGAAATGTTTTCCAACAGCTCCAACAGATTCTTCTTCTTTGTTGCTACATTATTACGTCTCTTATTCTGCTCCATTATGAGTAAAAGATATCAGTTTTGAAAACACAAAACCTTTTTGCTGCATATTAAAGAAAGAATATGGATGTTGCCACATGGTGCTCAACCCAGCCCAGCCCAGCTGAGTCTTTGGCAGTGACCCTCGCTGCAAAACATCCTGTAGATAAGTATTGGCCCTGCTGAATTAATGACTTAGTACACATTTGTACCCCACATTATACAAACTTAGATCTCCTGAAGTAGCAGATAACAAGAATAATCTGTTTATTTATGGTTATTTTCAAACAACAAAGATACAGGACTCAGTGATAACTTGCAAAAGCAAGTTCTGGAATTTCATTAAGTAGTCAGAAGAAAAAAAAATGTAACGAGCCTTGTTTTTGTTGGAATTCATCTTGTATATCTATTTTATGCATGAGGCTTTTTAGAATGTTATTTTCATAATGTTGTTTATAATCATTTGTTTTCATCCCAGTTGAGTCACAGTCTTTTCATTTTTACTTTAGATAAAATACTCCTACTCTTTTTGAAGACAAAGCTTTAAGCCAGTTGTATTTTTACTATTCCTTTCTTTCCTATGCCTGTGGAAAAAAAAAATACAAAATTTCAAATGATGGCATTTATATAACAGCATTACAGTATTTTGCTATCATTTTTTTTCCTAATTTTATGTAGTGCCAGAGTTGACTTCTTTCCATTACTCTCACTCACTCCAGCTCATAGGGATTCCTAGATTATTTTTACTGAGCAACAACAATCCATTTTTAAATCAACAACTCTTAAAATATAAAAATAATGACAATTATTCTTTCAATGTAAATCACATTTGCTACTAATGCATTTCATTTTTTTAATCATCATTTCCATTTCCTTAGTTTTCTTAGGTTTCTCTGAACTTCTATGATCAATGTCCAGCCTTAAGCACAGTCAGAAATTCTACTTTCTACTTGTGCATTTTTTCTACTTCAGGATATTCTGTACCTTTTTAGTTTTTTGCAAATATAAGCAAAGCATAAATACACAGCAATACATTTTTAGCATTAAGAAAAGTGAGTAGTGCTGTACTTATAAATCCATATATGCAAGTGTTTGCACTCATGCCCACATACAAATATACATCCACAAAATGATGCCAAAAGTAATGTAGAGCTTTAGTTAACTTTTTGACATCTTAAAGGCATCTACTATTGTCTCACTTCTCTCAACAATGTCTTCTGCAGAAAATATAGGAGAAAATATATTTAGGCATTAGGTTGATTTCATGACTCTGCATCGCTGGATATTGAATGTGAAAATACAGCAGTAGGAACTCTTCAGTAAGATTATTTGATTTTCCTCTAGCAAAGGTATTTGAGAAAATAATATAAATATTACTTATGATGAGATCTGGCAGAGCACTTTGCAACATCCAGTTTTATGTGGATGTGGATGTTTAAGTTTAATGTAACTTTTCAAATGAACAGTCTGAAGGAATAGTTCAACTTCAGTGTTAAGATTTCCCTGAGAAAATATTTTAGGAACTGGACCTCTATTATTATTAAAAAAAAAAAAAAAAAAAAAAAAAAAAAAAAAAAAAAGTTATTTCTTGGAATATTTCTACTATTTTTCTTCAGTTAAACATGCCCATTATAGTAACAGGAAAATTTTCCTGAAGTTCCTTTTTGGTGTTTTAGTTGCTTATGTAGCAGGTCATTCCATTAGGTAACCCTCCAAATGACCCAAAGGAGATATATTAAAATCTGGTAATACAATACCCCTGGACTATTTTACATAATAAGATTTTTTTTCCCCAACTCCCAGATGTTGCTAAAGGAAAAAAAAAAAAAAAAAAAAAGACCTGTAAAATTCTTCATCATGAATCTTTTTTTTTTTCTGCAAATCCCTTTTTTCCCCCCTTTCAAAAGCAATTCTGAATAGAGGTAAAAGAAGACAAAACTTGACCTTTTGTGATCCCAGCATTAATAGGTCTGTTCATAATTCAATCTGTGTGTGTGTAGAAGCATCCATGTGGAAACATGCAGGCCTGAGAGACATAAAGCCTTTCCCTTTAAACATTATCTGACCCTATGAGTCTTATTCACAAAAGAAGGCTTACGTACGCATAAGTTGAAAAAAATGCGTGCTTTCATTGTGCTGCAGAGAGCCTACACATTTTACTCCTCATTCTCCAGGAAAACTCATCATGGAAGTGACACTTGTACAGGAGTTGGGTGAGGGAATGGCAAAAGAACACAACGTGGCAAAAAAACAAAAAAAAAAACCAAAAAAACCCCCCAAAACAAACAAAAAAAAAAAAAAACAACCAAAAAAAAAAAGCACATGTGAAGAATAAGCTTCTTTTCCCATTACAAATATAGGAGGGTCAACTCCTTGGCTGGCATGTGACAGGGTGAGGGCATGGATGGGAGAGGACTGTGTGTTACAGCCTTGCAAAGCTCTACCTGATGAGAGCAGCACGTTTTTCTTGCTATATTAAAGCTGTTTCCTTCCTCCATAATCTACGTTCACCAAGGTGAGGGCTGTGTCAGCTGCACCTGGACTGATAAATATTTATAATGCAATGTTTATAATGTCATAGATTCTAATGAATGATTGTAGAGTCCATTGGTTTTGAGGCAGCTCTGTAAGGTATTTTAGAACTTAAAGCCTATTGATGCCACTGCAAACCTCCAGCAAATAAGAGTACCAGGTATTTATATCATGTCTATACATAAAGTCCACCTATTATCAGTATCTGTTCGTGCCTCTCCCGTTCAGTTTGGCTCTGGAAAGTCAGCTGGCAGTTTAAATGCTCTGTTACTCTGAGCCCACTCATGTTATCAGAGAGTGCCCTGAGCCACTTTGCACTGAACCTGTCAATTGAAACCTGAACAGGGGGCAGGACACACACAGTTGTGAGAGCAGCAATAAGAGTTTACATTTGGTGAAATAAATCCTCAGCTGGTGTAGATCAGCCAAGCTACAACAACTGCAGTATCGATTTAGAGCAGGATCTCAGCCCAGCATCTGTAATTATTTTCTAAACAAGGCAAAACGAACAGCATCAGGAATCATGAAGAAGACTTTTCTTAGTAAGTAATGACTGAGGTAATGATGACTTCCCCACCAAAGATTCCAGCATTTTCCTCCCCAGTAGAGAGGAAATACTGCCCAAATCTTGAAAATCACATTGTGCACTTCTCTGCACCTGCATATGCCCAAATACTTTCAAAATACGGCATCAACAGCACTCACCTTTGAGAATCTCATAGGAAGAATGCTAAGGAAGGAAAGAAATGGAATTTCACAGCCCTTTATTGCTCTAATTGTAAAATAGAAACAAGACTATTCAAAAGGTAATCAGAAACCAGAAAAACATCAAAAGTAAGGCTGTGATGGTGCCACAATTAGTTTTTTTTATTATGGGTGCAAATATTCAGATTTAGCACCTTTTAAGTAATACGAAACACATCATGTATCCCAGTGATACCAATTGTGTTAAACCAATTGTTTGAATGCATAATTAAGTTGTTAGTGAATAATAATCTAACCTTGGGCTGACTAAATATATCTACATTTTATTGTTTTTCATAACACATATGATAATTGATATGCCCAGTAGTTTACTGAATACCTTCTATTCAAATTACACTTATAAGAAATTGTCTAGTTAGACCAATTTCAAAATAAAGGAATATTCAAAGACAAAGCTGGCCACTTGACACGGAAATACTACTGAATTAATTTCAAACATAAGGAATGTTCAAAGATAAAGCTGGCCATTTAACATGGAAGCACTACTGTTCAGGTATTCAGGCTAATGTTGAGTGATAATGAAATTAATATCCACATTGGAGGACACGTGAAATATGGACAACCAACTGAGTTATCCAAAAGACATAATAAAGGGGCTGACATTCTCTGGGGATGGATGTCACAATTCCAGAGAGAATCAAAGAACTGTGACCACCTTGCAGCCAGCACTCACTTTGCAGGCCGTGCTGCTCAGTTCAGCTCCTCACTTCCTCCTGGTTGTCCACAGGTTAAAGCTGCTCCCAGGTGCAAAGGTGCAAATGTCCAGACTCACAAATCCCAGAATCAATTAGGCTGGAAAAGACTTCTGAGATCATCAAGTCCAACCAAACACCACCGTGTCAACTAGACCATGGCACCGAGTGCCACATCCAGTCTTTCCGTGACTCCACCACCTCCCTGGGCAGCCCGTTCCAATATCCAATCACCATTTCTGGGAAGAAATTCTTCCTGAAAGAATTCCAAGAGAAGCGTGCCTGTTCCCAAACGAGGTGTTTGAGCACTGGGTGGTGCAGTACCTGTCACCACTTCCACACTTTCTAGCGTGCCAGAAGTCTTTAGGAGGAGAGGTAGAACACCCTGCTGAAGAGCAGAGAACACCCTGAACGGCTCTTGCATTTGATTCACAATATTAAAATAAATCAAGTGGATTTGTATAGCTGGGTTGTTAATTTTCAAGCTCCATGCAGAAAATGTAGTGTCCCTGAACTAACTGAATGACATTTACTGGAAAATCTGAAGCATCTAGAACCATAAACATATTTAATATTTTGCCCACGATACATGGTTCTTTCTCTACCTAAATTTCGTTGTTCCTTTTTATTTTCATGGCCTTCTAAGCATTTCAAGGGTGGTTCTGGGCATATTTTTGTTATGGTAATAATAAATAGCGTTTGTCTTCTACCTCCATATTTCTGTTAGTAAGTGATGGGCCATTAAGAGCTTTTTTTCTTTTTTTTTGGTACTTGCTTTTAGCAGGCAGAGATAAAATCACCAAGTACATAAAAAAAGCTATTCATGCCAACTTCAGGCAGATAGTTTAGGATTTCTGCCAAAGCAAGGAGATCAAGACTGAGGTCTACATGGATCTGTTGTTTAGTGAGTCAGTTTTATTGAAGAAAAATATG